AACACAAGTCAGCAGATTTGATCTTATTTAGCTCAATGTGATCTGAGCAGATCTGAAGCTAATAATATAACAGTTTAAAATTAAAATAATCTTATAAAGTTGATGTAATCACTGTTTGTTATTGAACTGGTTAACAGATATTAGCTTGTGGAGCATATGTGTAGCTCTGCTGAATCATGCTACAATTTAACACAAACTAATAAATATTACAGATAATTTGTCCTCTGATTAATATTTAGACCTACAGAGTGTAAAATAATATTATAAATGTAAGTATTTTTAGGTTTCTGTTAGAGGAACCTGTTGAGATGTTAGCTAAAGTTTTGCCCTTTAACCAGGTATACAGAGAACATTTTGTTGACTGGTAAATAGTTATTATTATTTATGGCAGTAAGAATAATAAATATACTTTATTACTCATTGAAGTCATAATTTTTCAACTAGCTGAAGTCTAAGTAACAGACTGACTTCAGGTCTGGTTTAGATCATTGTTACTTATAAATTATATATTTTTCTGGTGTAAATCTGCTGTTTTACATGGTTGTTGAATGAAATTAGTTATTAATTTATTGTAAAAACATGACTGATAATCTGTGAAACAGATCCGGTTCAGCTTGCTGTTTATATATTAGTTTCAATGGAGGCTGTGAGCTGTTGCCCTGTTTGGTCATCACTTCTGCTCCTCCATGTTGTCACAGATGCTACCAGTGGACAGGATAGGTGGGGCTCAGTCTAAASTTATTATGATTAAACTCTGTTTCTCCAAACTGTGACCACTGTTCCAAAACACAGACATTTGGTTAATATGTGTATCCAGCTGACTCCAAACCTTTCAACAGTTATAAAATAAGATGGAGACGAGGCAAACAAAACCATGAAAATGCTCCACTCAGCGAACCAGTACAACCAGATGACCTTCACTGAGTCAATACAACAGRAATCCAAGCATATAATTCATTAAAAATTCACAGCAGTTTTTATCACAAGGACTCTCATTCCACACAGATAAACTTCCTGCACTCACGTCGGAACTTTAAAGCTTTCATTGTCTCATGCTTGGAAATCCAACAACTTCCTTCTTCCTAACTGGAGTTAATAAGTCTTTGAACTGCAGACTATCAAAATCATCTG